ATAATATGACTCAGAAAATTTTCTCAGACAACAGATATAATCATTGAGTGTCCCCTAATATGATGGGCACTGTCTTAACTGCTTAAAATACATCAGTAAACATACATACATACATATATATAACATACATACATACATGCCTCATTTTCATGTCGCTTCTATTCTATTTTGGAGAAGTCAGATGATGAAAAAATACATAATAGGGGCTGGGGTTTTGGCTCAATGTTAGAGCACGCGCCTAGCATTCATGAGGCACTGGGTTTGATCCTTAGCATCACATAAAAATAAAATAAAGGTACTGTGTCCACCTACAACTATATATATATATATATTTTTTTTTTTAAGAGTGGAGATGCAGTTTAAAAACACATAATAAACTAATAAGTTACACAGGTGATAAAATATAGACAATAAAAGAAATAGAAAGGTGTAAGGGAAAGATATGTCACCACATTCATGTTTTACAGAAAGTCATCTTTTCCATTAAAAAAAAAAAAAGATATATTAAGAGAGTTTTGCCCTCCAAAACAGGAAGACAAGCAGTTAAAAAATATTCCGGAGTTGTTGGTATTGCAACCTATAGGTTAGTCAATAAGACCAGTTCTTGAGAAACAATAAAAACCGTCATGTTTCATTACACTTTTTGCCAGGACATATTGTCTACGATATAGACATAATCACAGCATATCCACTAGTAGTCGTTTTGAAACTGCAACAAATCAGAAATTTCAGTAAGTGAAGTCTCATGATGGAGTAAATTTATCCATCCAGTTTTATTTCTTCTTCCTGAAGTTTTCAGAATATTCTCTTGAGAAGGATGCTTTGCCATGAGCAAGTTAATATGTTTTTTTTTTGTGTGTGTGTGTGTGTGGGTGAGAGAGAGAGAGAGAGAGAGAGAGAGAGCAAGCATGCTGGGGATTGAACCCAGAGCTTCACACATCCTAAGGTACCCCTGAGTTCAAATATTTAATGAGTTAAAGTGAGTTACTATTTGCAAGTGTTTGGCGTGGTATATAGTACATGGAAATTTTTTAAAATTGTGAGCAGGGCATGGGAACACACCCACGGTTCCGGCATTCAAGAGGCTGAGTGAGGTGTGAAGAAGATCACTGGAGTCCAAGAGTTCAAGATCAGCCCAGGCTACATAGTGAGACTCCCCTTCTCTCTCTCTCTCTCTCTCTCTCTCTCTCTCTCTCTCTCACACACACACACACACACACACACAAAGTAGTTATTTCAAACCTTCAAACCTTAGCGGGGATAACAATTTTTATGAACCAAATACAATGAAAATACAGTGCCCATTTTGAGATCAAGAATAACACACTAAGGAAATTAATTGTAGTAACCCTTGAAACACTGGTGTTTATAATATGCACATAAATAATGTGAATATATTCCCTATGCTTCAGGGTTTATCCTATAATTTGTAAGTAAACTTCCTTTATCCATGGTTTTCTTCAGTTTTACTGTTCATTATGTATCAATTCCATCAGAAAGTGTGAGATGGAAGGGAATATGAAAGCTAGTAAACACGGTTTATGAGTTTTGGCTCTTAAAAGTAAGTGAAGAAGTCAAAACAGCTAGATAAAATTAGATTTGAGGTGTTTTCATCTGTGCTATTCTTGTCCTGCATTACCACAAATCACTGGGAGTATATTTGTATAATTCCCAACCATTTCTGGTTTTAGGAATTTTTGAGATATTGATACTAGAATATTTTACTTAAAAATCAACAATAATCTTTGCTTCTGTAAGCAGGTAAGGAGGACTATTAGGTGATCATTGGAATTGTGCCAGTTGTTATTTTCCTTGGCCAAAGGAAATAGAAATGAATAACCTCCCCAAGACAAGCCTGAAAGCTGCGTTTATGTTTCCATAATGCTGTTTTTACAGCCCAATCAGTATTGACTCTAATTTTAGGACTGTCTCTAATTGCCTGCCAGTCTTCCCTCTGGCTGAAACTTCTCGAAGGAAGACTTACCTTTCATTTTTGCAACCCCACGTTCCTAACACAGGTAGCCAGTATTGTGATAAGTGAAAGAATAAATAAATGAAAGAGCCTTGGGGTTTATATAGATGTTAACCAAGTCTCTTAAGCACTAAGTCCAATAAAATCATATTGGTGAAGTTTTATTTGGGAGCTCTATGTTTTCTATAATTGCAAAATATATCCATTCCCATCTGTATTTCATTATCTCCATGAAATCTAAGTGTGTTAAACTATTACATTAACTGTGGTATCTTAGCTGCCTTTTAAATTAATGGAAAAGTTAAAAATACTGCTGTAAAAGAGATTATCTTGCCAGTGCATACCCAATGCAAACTTATTAAAAGACTCAATGTTTAAGAAATTCCCCTTCTTAAATAGCATACACTGCATAATTATGATAATTGAATATTCCTACTAATGATTCGAAGACTCAGATACATTCTTGATGAAAAATGATCAAACATGGTGCTCTATTTTTAACTTAGGACTGCAGAGGATTTATTATTTTGAAATCAAATCTATTAAACTTCATGAATACATTACTCCTCATTAAGATTCCTTTTAAATTCATTTGACATATTAAAGACAGGGTATCAGTGAATAATTTATAAGTAAAAATCATCTTATGTTATTTATTTTAGAAATTAAAGCAAATAGAACATTTTACATGAAGGAGGAAAAGCGAAACAAGTAACTGGCAAAGTAGGACTAGACAGGAGAATGTCAAGGTTAATTTTCCTACTTCTAGAACACTCTTAGCTTATTATTGAAATAATTTTGCCAAATACTTTATTTGTGAAAGACATTGGTTGACAATTCAATTCATTTTATAGGCCAACTGATATTGTGATTAAAATTAATTTAGTGCCGGGCGGTGGCATGTGCCTGTAATCCCAGTGGCTCAGGAGACTGAGACAGGAGGATCACAAGTTCAAAGCCAGCCTCAGCAAAATCAAGGTGCTAAGCAACTCAGTGAGACCCTGTCTCTAAATAAAATACAAAACAGGGCTGGGGATGTGTCTCAGTGGTCAAGTGCCTCTGAGTTCAATCCCTGGTACACCCCACACACACAAAAAAAATTTAAAAATGCAAACAATTATATTTAAATCTCCTTAATCAACATAGGACTACATTAAATGAGGCTATATGAACATGCGCCTGATGATCCATAACCTTAAAAAAAATAAAGCATTATTATTATTATTACACTATTGCATGGGCAAAACATATTACCCAATAATCAACTCTTTTTTTATAGTGACTCTGCAAAATTCCTTCTACCACCAAAGTGCATCAGAAAAAAACAGTGGTGTTCAAACATTCTTGTTTGTTGGTCCCAAATAGAGATCCTTTGAAACAAATTTCTCAAATAATTCCATCACCCCAAAGCATTTGAAGAAACTATTATTTTCAGTTTGGGAGAGCAGCATTGGAGCTGAGGAAATTAAGAGAAACATCCCAATAAAAGATAGCTAATTATTGTCAAGATGAACTACTGACACATTACTGTTAGGCCAGAGAAGTTTGGCTAAGGTGAATTTTATAAAAGCTCTTTTCTTCTACCCACAAAACAAGGGACTACTAAGGCCTTCAGGGGCTCCTCCCTGTGAATTTCTGAGCTGCACTTGACGTCTCTATGTTGCCACTGTCCCAGAAGGCCAAGTGTCACACTCAGAAAGAACTAAAAAAACTGTGCATCTATCTAAAAACAGAGGAGTATTAGCAGGCTCTTGGAGTCACTAGTTCTCATAAAACACTAACCAATAGTTAGCAAATAGGGCATTATATCTTTTTTGAGCTAATTTCCTGGTTTTCATTAAATCCAACCTGATTGCTAGGAGGTGATATGTATCTACCTTATATAACTATTGAATGAGTTTACTCTCAGCCTACAATAGCTTAAAAATAGATTTTCTTTGCTCTAACTATTCTCTGTGTAACACATTTTCACCCAGGGAAATCAAGCATTAAAAATATATGCCCTGATTGCTTAATTTGAACAACATCATGGCGGCAAACAAAAAGAAATTTTAAGAATTCAATCGCTTGCAAAATTGCAGTCATAGTGTTTATTTAGCAAAAATATTTTTATTCGGCTACTTAGCATCATTTAATATGCAACATTAAATAATCATTGCAATATGGCATCAAATATAATTAGCAAAAACATTTTTATCAGATGACTTAGCATCACACATATGCAACAATAAATATTCATTGCTGCAAATCATCAAATATAAGTTTTTCACTGATTTAAATAAATTCATATGATTTCTATTTAATGATAGAGTACAGTAAATTTTTTTCACTTTTTTCCTACTAAGTGCTAGAGAGCACAATTACTTCTAAACATTTACATTACTATGTCTTTAAATCTTTTACTAACATGGTTCACATTTACATCTATTTTTCTAAAGTTTCAGTGATCATGTAAGAGTTCTCTGAAGTTTTTACAGAATTAATTTATTCCATTTTTCTCTAGTCACAAATACACACACACACACTCCTATTTAAATTTGCACCAATCTCATTATATCTAAATACTCTTATTTTTCCAAAAGCAGCAGTAAATTATTTGCACAAAATTGTTGTAATGGACGGAATTCAAGCATGTTAGCATAATAAATGTTGCTCTCTCTATTAAATAGGTTCAGAATATAAAAGCATGCTTAAAACTGTTTTGAAGGAAACTTTCAAAGAGTGAAATCATGTGAGAAAATTATTATAAACTCAAAGTTTGAAATCTAGACTACAGATTTTAAATGTTACATTTCATTTTTATGAAGTGTTTCCTTTTATTTGTATATATGCTACAAGAGCTAAGTACTAAGAATTTACTGTGTTATATAACAGTCAACTAAAATTACAATTTCCTTTTGTTTTACTAGTTTTTCAGACACAGCCCATGAAGCATGTGTCAGAAAGGATCTTTTTTTTTTTTGTGTGACCATTAACTGACAATTTTTCAAATTAAGAAAGAAGAGCTAAAGTACAATTATACACTCACCTTTTGGTGTCTTGAAGTGTTCTGGCAAAATTAAAATGAACGTGATCACTATTGCCACAAACAATTTAAGGAGAGCTGTTTTTGTCATATCTATTCACATGACACCAGCGTGCTCCATGCGATACATTGATGGTGTGTTGCTTCCTCCTTCAAGTTTCATCTCTGTGGTCCCTTGAGTTAGTACAGTTCACCTCGTACTCACTTCCTTCTGAGTGAGTCTTTAGAAAAAAGAGGCCTTGATCTGAGACTTCTTCATTTAGAGTCACTTTCCATTTAGACAACGGTTCTCTAATAAGCAATTTTAAATAATCTTCTAAACAGGAAAGACAAATAAATGACCTAAAGAAGCAAAGGAATCTTGTCCTCATGTAAATTGGATCCTGTCTTCCCACGTTTAACAATGTGTGAGAGTAAATACAAAACCTACAATATAGTTTCTAAAAATAAAACTGAATTTCAGTCATGCCCAGACTGTATGGACATCATCCATTCACTTACATATGAAACAATTATTGATCCCTCCCAAGTGTCAGGTGTCGTGCTGGATTCTGTTGGTCAGGAAACAGTAGTCTGGAACACAGTAGATAGTGCAAAATGTAGTGATAAACTAAAGATGCGTGCAAATATTTGGTTCTACTTTACTACGTTGTATATGTGCAGTACAATGGAACTCATTAATATTAGACCTTATAACACCATGATTATTGTTTCAGATTCCATATTTTCTGCCCATTTAAAAAATAAGAACTTTCATTATAGTAATACCAGTGAAATAAAATCCTTCATCTTAGAATAGAAATGAAGCATAAAGATACAGGTCAGGCAACAGTCCTCAGAGGGATCCTTCATTGTTCCCATCTCCCAGGTTTCACTAAGTGATCCATGAACAATCTACTCCTCATTTGGATCCTGTTTAGATTCCCCCAAACATTCTGACTCTTATTTATGAATACAAACATTCTAATCATAATTTTACTGAATTTATGAAATGTATCAAGCAAGTACTTGATATAACACCATTAAGTAAGTAATTTCTTGAACAATTTCTTTTCAAAGCAACTAAACCACTTCTATTTTTTTCCACTTTAATTTGATTTGATTGCAATAATTGTGTTATGTTAATGCCTATTCTTTTTCCGTGTTAATTTTAGAACAGTGCTTTGGTTCATTTATTAATTCTTGTGTCCATATCAAACTTTATTGGTTGGTGAGCTTTCTTTGTGGTAGTAGTTTTTCCAAATCTGCACATGTGCGCCCCCTCCCCCACACACACACACACTCATTCGCATACATGACCCTGCTCCCTACTAATCTGACCTCAGGCTGGTTGTTATTCTTGGGCACCTGAAAAATATTTTTCTCTTAGCATCTCCATGGGGCCTTTGTCCTGTCTGGGCTTATGTGTTCTATACCTGGTATCTCTGGTGATGTCTAGATGCTTGGATAACAGGAGAGTAGTCTAGGGGCCCTATGTCCCAGGCCACAGCCTGACTGCTCTGAGAATATGGTGGATTCAGATCCCACAGACACACTATAATCCACTTGCTGGCCTTGGTGTTTTATCTTTGACTTAGCAAATCTTGAGAAAATTAAGTATGCCCTCAGGTATTTCAGGAATCTTTAATTATTTTCTTATATTGCTAATCCAATTTTATTAATACCTTTAACATTCTGTCTATAGTTATTAAATTATTAGCTGAATGATGGTCAATTACAAGTTCCAAATATTCACTATGCAGTTTGTGTTTTTCAAGATCCAACAGCAAGGGTTAAAAACAAAGGATCAGGGCTGGGGTTGTAGCTCAGTGGTAGAGTGCTTGCCTTGCACATGTGAGGCACTGGGTTCAATCCTCATCAACTCATAAAAATAAATAAATAAATAAAATAAAGGTATTGGGTCCATCTATAACTAAAAAATATTTTTTAAAAAACAAAGGATCAAAACATATTGTTTTTTTTTTCCTGTGGATAATTCATCCACTGAAATGTTTTATAACTGAAATTACTGGATCACAAAATAGGTAATTAAATATTTTCTTCTGAAACACCAGCAATCTCTAAAACTAAAGAATCAAGCTAAGGTTTTTTTGTAGGCAATTCATCTTAAAATGAAAATGCCTCAGAAATAAACAAACATAGGTGTGCTGACCTTTGATTCTATTTAACCTTTAAAAAGTTATTTTTAAGAGAACAGAAGTAACAGAAAAGTTGGCAACAAACCCAGAATAGACAGCATTGAGTGATGCATAAGCAACTTTTTTTTTTTTTTGGGTACTGGGTATTGAACCCAAGAGTACTTAACCACTAAGCCACATCCTCGGCCTTTTAAAAAATTTTTTAAATTTTTTTATTTTTGAAGCAGGGTCTTGCTAAGTTGTTTACAGCCTCTAGCTAAGTTTCTGAGGCTGGCTTTGAACTTTCAATCCAATCCTCTCAGACTCCCAAGGCACTGGATTACAAAACTGTGCCACCATGCCTGGCAAACAATTTAAAAAACAAAAACAAAAACAAAAAAAAATGATGTTATTTGTGGCTTTAACTTCTACACTATGAAGGTCAGAGTTATAGCAAATGCTAAACCTCTAAGTTTATGAGTCTGGGTCATCATTAGAATTTAATCTGCATATTGACCTTGGGAACTGTGGGAAGCCAAGGTGAGAGTAGGGAAGGGTGTCCTTGCTGCCTGGCCGTTCTCTTGTGATGTCTCCCTTGCATCTGTGCTCCACACTATTATAGCTTCTGTTACCTGTGCCATCACCTCTCGGTCACCCAAACTTGAAAATGCTGCAGTAGTTATTAGTAAGGCCTACATTCAATTTTTTAATGGCCCATGGATGGATCATAATTCACTTAACCATATTCTATGTCATTTTAAAAATTTTATTTGCAACACCATGGTGGGAAGATTCATATCTATAAAACTTTATGAGTCTGATTATAGAGTAGAATTACTGAGATGAAGAGTATGAAGATATCTGAAGTTTTAAATTCATAGAACCAATAGTCTCAAGCAAAGTTATGCCCACATCCACTCTACCAACCACACATGAGAGTACCCATGGGTCACCAAACTTCATTAGCCATCTTATTCTTCGAGCCTTTAATAATTTGAAAAGACTAAAGTGTTGTTTTGATTTGCCTTTCTTTAAAGATTTCTCATATTGGCTAACAATTTTAATTTCTTCTCTTTGTTGGAGCATTTGTGTCTTTCTTATTGACTTACAGGCCCATTTCTCTATTGGAACATGTGCCCTTTGTCATATACGTTGCAAACATTTTCACAGGTTGTCATTTGCCTTTTCGTTTTTTTGTATGTGATATTCTTTTTATCCCCTGTGACAGACTGTAAAATATCTTGCATTCTGTACTTAAAAGTTTTTTTCTGAGAAACACAGTTCTCCCTCATTGTATTTATAATATGAAAAATAATTTATAGTTTATCAGATAGTTGTTTCTTCTTAAATACAAACTTTACCTGTAGCCTAATTTTGGCTGCCTGACTACATACCAACAAGAACTGTTGGGGCATGACCATCTCCCTAACAAGGGAAACATCTAACCCTGTAATAACTTGTTAGAGTTGATAATAATACCCACATTTTCATAACTATGTTTAACAATTTCCAAAGAACCTTCACAAATATTAGATTATAAAATGAGACTCTAGAATTAGTCAGTGGCCACAAATTGCAATTACTCATCCACTGTGGGCTTCTGCATCTTATTTCAATAAAGGAATAAGAGATTAATAAACTTAAAACACAAGAGGTGGTTGTTATTGCATTAGTGTTTAACTTTCTTGTCTTATATTTCATGTCTGAGACCTAGTTTCTCAAAATCCTTTAATTCGTCTGTACCAGAAGCCTTAAATAATTCTACTTTTTGTGCTAGATACAAATTTTTAAAATGAAAGAAATTTTATTTCAGGGAGTTATTCTACCAGGGAAAGTAATAACAAAATACTTTTAAAAGATAAAAAATAACAGCATTAAAACATTTGGTTTAAATGTAACTTTTATATAGTTACCTATTGTTATAGAAATACACTCATATATATTTTATATGAGGAATTTTCTATTTCTTTTTCCTAGATGAAACTACCCTCAATTCCTTCATCATATTCTGGGGAAAGATTTTTGGGGGATCAAAAATAACAGCAATAATCATGACATTTATTGAACATTTACTGTGTGCTACTGCACAGAATCAAATGTTTTGAATGGATTATTTTTATTCAAGCCCCTAGCAACTCTCTAAGGGATTTACTATCACTAAACCAATTTTAAAGACAAAGAACAGGAGGTATAGAGAAGTCAAATAACATGCTCAAATCACACAGTTAATGAAGAGTAAAGCTAGATTTCAAACCCCGAGGGTCTGACCAGACTTAATGATCTCAACTCCATTCTGTGTCATCCTTCCCTCTGGAGGTTTTTGAGAATTTTTGTAGGAAAGGTCATTACTAAATAACAATAGAAAACACAAATGTATCTCTTACTATGTGCCCACTCCATACTAACCCAAGGGTTCTCAATGGTGCACTATTGACGTTTTAGACCAGGTATTTCTCTGTCACGGAGAACTGTCCTGTACACTCTAGGACGTTCAGCAGTAGATGCCAGTAGTAGTCCTCCTGATCCCAGTTTTGACAACAAAAAAAGCATCTCCAGACATTACCAGAAGTCCCTGGGGGGACAATATTGCTCCCAACTGAAAACCACCACAGTAATTAATTCGCTTATATGAAGTCATTAAGTCTCCACCACAACCCTATCAAACAGTTACCATCATTATTTCCATTTTACTCACTTCAGGTTAGTTCTATTTTGAGTAATCTAATCATCCAGAAAGTGAATTCAAAAGACAATTCATAATCTGGATCAGCCTAATTACTTCTAATTGTATTACTTGCAGATAACCATCTACTTTGGCTACACAGCAATACTTAGATTAACACATTTTGTAGGAAAAAATAATCTCTTTTTAATGAGATCTGCCTGAGCGTGGAGAGGGTCCTGGGAAGTTCCTATCTCCTCATTCATTTTGTGGTTCATTCAACAAATACTTACCAAACACATAAAATGTCTGGCAGCTTCCTGATCCCTGGAAATCTGGTGGCAAACAGGCAAAATCCTCCCCTCACATTTAAGTAGAAATGAACATTTGAAT